ATATTACAGGTGAGAAAAAGAAGAAGAAGAAGAAATATTACAGGTGAAAAGAAGAAGAAGAAAAAGAAGAAGACATATTACAAGTGGGAAGAAGAATAAGAAGAAGAAGAAAAATAATAATAAGAAGAAGAATCATTAAAGAAGAAAAAGAAGAAGAAGAAATATTACAGGTGAGAAGAAGAAAAAGAAGAAGAAGAAGAAGAAAAAGAAATATTACAGGTGAGAAGAAGAAGAAGAAGAAGAAGAAGAATCATTAAAGAAGAAAAAGAAGAAGAAGAAATATTACAGGTGAGAAGAAGAAAAAAAAGAAGTAAAAAATGTTACAGGTGAGAAAAAGAAGAAGAAGAATCATTAAAGAAGAAAAAGAAGAAGAAGAAGAAGAAGAAGAAGAAGAAGAAGAAATATTACAGGTGAGAAGAAGAAGAAGAAGAAGAAGAAGAAGAAGAAGAAGAAGAAATATTACAGGTGAGAAGAAGAAAAAAAGAAGAAGAAGAAAAAGAAATATTACAGGTGAGAAGAAGAAGAAGAAGAAGAAGAAGAAGAAGAATCATTAAAGAAGAAAAAGAAGAAGAAGAAATATTACAGGTGAGAAGAAGAAAAAAAAGAAGAAGAAAAAAAATGTTACAGGTGAGAAGAAGAAGAAGAATCATTAAAGAAGAAAAAGAAGAAGAAGAAGAAATATTACAGGTTAGAAGAAGAAGAAGAAGAAGAAGAAGAAGAAGAAGAAGAAATATTACCGGTGAGAAGAAGAAGAAGAAGAAGAAGAAAAAGAAATATTACAGGTGAGAAGAAGAAGAAGAAGAAGAAAAGAAGAATCATTAAAGAAGAAAAAGAAGAAGAAGAAATATTACAGGTGAGAAGAAGAAAAAAATGAAGAAAAAAATGTTACAGGTGAGAAGAAGAAGAAGAAGAATCATTAAAGAAGAAAAAGAAGAAGAAGAAGAAGAAATATTACAGGTGAGAAGAAGAAGAAGAAGAAGAAGAAGAAAAAGAAATATTACAGGTGAGAAGAAGAAGAAGAAGAATCATTAAAGAAGAAAAAGAAGAAGAAGAAGAAATATTACAGGTGAGAAGAAGAAGAAGAAGAAGAAGAAAAGAAGAAGAAAAGAATTACAGGTGAGAAAGAAGAAGAAGAAGAAGAAGAAGAAGAAGAAGAAGAAGAAGAAGAAGAATCATTAAAGAAGAAAAAGAAGAAGAAGAAGAAATATTACAGGTGAGAAGAAGAAGAAGAAGAAGAAGAAGAAGAAGAAGAAATATTACAGGTGAGAAGAAGAAGAAGAAGAATCATTAAAGAAGAAAAAGTAATGTTCCAGGTAAGAAGAAGAAGAAGAAGAAAAAGAAGAAGAAGAAGAAGAAAAAGAAGAAGAAGAAGAAGAAGAAGAAGAAGAAGAAAAATCATTACAGAAAAAAAGAAGAAGAAGAAGGAGAAATATTACAGGTGAGAACAAGAAGAAGAAGAAATATTAAAAGGTGAAAAGAAGGAGAAAAAAGAAGATTTATTAAAGAGAAGAAGAAGAAGAAGAAGAAGAAGAAGAAGAAGAAGAAGAAGAAGAAGAAGAAGAAGAAGAAGAAACATTGTAGAAAAAGCCAAGAAGAAAAAAAAAAGAATATTTTTAAAGGAGGTACCAAAGAAAGAAAAAGAAAAAAATACAAAAAAAAATGAAGGACAACAACACTGAAAAAAAGGCGAGAGGAAAGAAAGAAAAAGGGGAAAAGAGAAGAAAATAATTAATAATTATAATATTTATGCTCTGTAAATTTACATTGAGCACTATTTTGTAAAAGTAAAGATCTCAATACGAACACCGGATTATATATCTTATTGTTCTTTCTTTCATATATATATATATATATATATATATATATATATATAAATTCACAAGGGGATAGAATCCAGGTAGAACTCAATGTCCAGGACAGAGTAAGAACCTCTATCTATAAATGGTAGAATGTGTGTGTATGTGTAACGAATCCACGGCCGCAATTTTCGACGGATTTGCACCAAAATTTACATGCACATGCTCCAAGTTAGCGGAAAGGCTAAGACCGACTTTTCATTTCCCAACTCCCATCGACAGTGGAAATAATCGATTTTTTCATGCTTCTACGACAGTTTTCATGTAGTTTGCCGCCATTTTCTACTGGCCAGCGTGAGAGCCAACAGCTGACTGACACGAATGTTAACTAGCATGCTAGCATGCAAAAATAATCGATAGCTGCATTCATCACAAGTAGGAAAAATTAAAATCTGCATTTTACTCCAATTGGCTCATTCACTTGCTTAAAATCAACGTTGATTCTGATTCCGCAGAACTGGGTTGGGTGTGAAAAAGTATTTGTTGTTAACATTCTTTTTTCATTCGGTTTTTCCAGTTACGAGTCCTTTTTTAAAGCTGATCGTTCATTTGGTTTCGTTCTTTTTTCGTAACAGATTTAATCTTTAGTATAGTGTTATACCGGAACATACCTATTCTATTGTTAGACTCTCCCACAGTCGTAGTAGTTGCCAGTGGGCTCAGAGTGGAGTTGGTGTGTCAGTCGATGTCGGACCTTAAAGTATCAATCCACCACCACTAGATTGCTGCGTCATTAACTATTATTTCAAGTTCCTAACGTTTTGTACGTCGAACCTATTTTAGGACCGACTTAGTAAAATACAAGCCTCCACTGTGAAAACTACTCTACAACATATAGAGCTTAGAAAAAATTCGCAGTGTGAGATAGGCAAGAAGTAAGGCATGTAGCAACATCAGCACGGCAAAGGGCACTCCTTTAAAGGCAAGGAAGGTCACAAATATTTTAAGTCAAGTGATAGCGATTGCTGTATGAATCGTACGATTTTTGAATCAAGCATGGGCAATGTTAATGAAACATATATATATATATATATATATATATATATATATATTATTCATTAAGGAAAAAAAATTATTAAATGGATTACAACTACTTAAAAAATTATTAATTTTTTAAAAGTTTAATTAAGATTTGTCTAGAAAAAAGAAACAATTTTTTTTAATATTATCTCAAGGGTTCACTTATTTTTGCACAGTAGTATATATATATATATATATATATATATATATATATATATACAGTTGAGCGCAGGGTTTCACGCTACTTACGATCGCCAGACAAACGGATTAATTTTTAAAAAATTGTGGGCTTATATATGGTTGCGTATGTCGGTGTTTTTATGGTGGTCGGAGGAAAAAATGTCGTCGGAATGCCACTCGTGCGTACGAAGGTATACATATATATATATATATATATATATATATATATATATATATATATATATATATATATGTATATATATATGTAATCCTTCGATTAGTACGGCTAATGGGTACGTCAATAACTATAAAAAATCGATCTCCAATTACTGTGGATAAGCTGAAGAATATTTACCGCACTAATCGAAAAAACGCATTAATCGAGGGATGCCTGTATCGTTTACCCCAAGCAAGGCAATAAAGCCTCTAAGACACAAGGTGGGGGGTTACAGATTATGAAAGAATAAGAAAAAGAGAAACACTATTAAGGAGCGGGAATAAAGAGAAATCAAGAAGGCAGAAAATAACGATTGACATCGCATTTCAATTTTTGAAGATCAAAGTTGGCTGGAAAGCAAGAAGCCGGGAGAGAGTTCCACAAGCGAGAAGTGAGATTGAAGAAACTGTTAGCATAGAACTTGCGGCGACACTTCAGGTATTAAATGATAACAATATGTTGTTGAGATTAAATTCTGATGTCTAAGTACCATCGAACCAAGTTTGTCAGAAAAATTACCATAGAAGTGTTTATAGAAAACAAATAGGCTATTTTGTTCGTTTCGCTAAAATAGACCGCAAGCTATTTTGCCGGTAAATATTTTTATTATTATGAAGGAAGGTAATGTTAAAAATAACAACACACAAATTTAACGCAGAATTTTATTTATTTTCACCATCATGTTTATGGAGGCAAATTGGGAGAATATAGAGAGTGATCAACTAGTTCAAAGCCACAGCCAGACACAAAAGCCATTGAAATCAAGGATTTGTGTGCTGGGGCATTGTCTTAATGAAACAAGTTACCTTTCGTCAGTTCTCATAGGCGTTTGGTCTTAAAAGCCTTTCGCATCTGCCTCAGCATATTGGCATGGCACTCTCCATTGATGGTGTGGCCCTTTTGAAGATAGTTAATAAACTTTGGAGCAGGTGAGGACGGATGTTTCCACTGCATGGATTATCTCATTGTCTCTGGCTCAAAGTGACGAACCCATCACTCATCCTGGATTAGGAAAGGTTCTAGGAAACCAGCTGGGTCTGTCTTAAACAATGTCAGATTTTCCCGTGATGTGATCAGCCTGGTGCACATTTGATCAGGTATCAGAAGACGTGTCACACACCGAGTTGAAAACTTTCGTCCTGCCAATCGCGTGTCATCTATTACATGTGGTGAACGCAATCAATGTTTTCCTCAGTGGTAGCAGTTGCAGGATGCCCAGATCTTGGTCATCTTCAATAATCTCACTGCCCCTCCTAAATTCAGCTGCCCACATTTGCACAGTTGATAAAGCGGGGTCTTCACCTTTTTTCTGAAAGTAATTGATAACACCACGATGCCAAATTTTGTCTATTTTCAAGAGAAGTCTCTACTAGTTACATTTGAAATCTTCACTGGAAAGTCAGATGTCAGTTTACCCGGAAAAAAACAATGTACTTATTAATAAGAAGAGTTGAAATGAATGCATGCAAGATTTCACGGCTTTAGCATCACTCCTTCATAGTCAGACTATGAACTTTTCAGCCCATCGTCGTATTTGGATGGCCGTACATTGTGGTAAAAACAACAAAGATGAAGATACCAGTCTAAATAATTCCTTGAATAATGGTAATATTTTATTTATAAACCTTTTAAATTGAATTCATATAATCTGCATGGAAATTTACTGGTTATATGAGAATATTCCTAGGCCGATCGTTAATAAAAAGCAGAATGTACTTGAAGAAAATATGCGTCACCATTCATATCTATCTATCTATCTATCTATCTATCTATCTATCTATCTATCTATATCTATCTGTTCAAAGATATCTATCTATCTATATATCTATCTGTTCAAAGATATCTATCTATGTCTATCTGTTCAAAGATATCTATCTATCTATATGCATCTGTTCAAAGATTTCTTTCTATCTATCTATCTATCTATCTATCTATCTATCTATGTCTATCTGTTCAAAGATATCTATCTATCTATCTATCTATCTCAGTCTGTTCAAATCTATCTATATGTCTGTTCAAATGTATTTTTCTATCTCAGTCTGATCTCTCTCTCTCTCTCTTTCTCTCTCTCTATCTATATATCTATCTCAGTCTGTTCAAATCTATCTATCTATCTATCTATCTATCTATCTAAGTATATTCATATTATCTATCAGATTTTGTTCACATCTACCCCATTTTGTTCACATCTATCTCATTCTATTCACATCTATCTATCTATCTCAGTCTCTTCATATCTCTCTATCCCACTTTATTCACATCTATCTATCTATCTATCTATCTATCTATCTATCTATCTAATAGTTCCTATTTTGTATCACTATATATTTCCTTTTTATTTGAGATACATCTCACTGTCTTTATATCTTCCCTAAACGGACTGCATACGCCATGAACTGTTCACTCAGGGGTAATAGAAATAGCCAGTTCTGAATGCACTTTGCATGCAATCATTGTATGAGAAGTTTAGAAATGCAAAGTGAAACGCTGCACAAGGAGTTCAGGCCACGTGATCTTTGAAGATAAAATGGCTATCATAAATCAAATTAATTACCTTAGCTTCTCACCTCCTAATGTTCACACATGGAAAGTGTCTGTTCTTCTGTGAATTTGTTTTATCTTATATCTGTATTAAACACATTTGGTATTGCAAAATTTGAAATCAAGGTTTTTTGTCACACACACATACACGCACAGACACAGACACACACGCACACACATATATATTTATTTATTACATACCCACTACAAAACTATATATCTTGTTTCAACGTTAAAAAATGTTTTATTCAATCATATATATATATATATATATATATATATATATATATATATATATATATATATATATAAGTTGGGATCACATAGAGATCAAATGTGGATTGGGATGCGACAGAATTATAAGATGAAGAACAAATAGGGAACGTTTATCAATCTAACATGTTTCACTTTTATTAAAGCTTCGTCAGAGAATGATATGGAGAAAAAGAAGAAAGAAAATCTGTTATTTTTATAAGTCTACCATTCATCCATGCTTAGAACATTACTGCCACAAATGGTCTGGTGCCTCTGCTTTTTACCTTGAGCTCCTTGACAAGATCAAAAAAAGAATCAGCAATATTATTGGTCCTGACCTGGCATCTCGGCTTCAGTCACTTTCCCACCGCCGTAAGGTTTTCTCTCTGTGCCTTTTCTATAAATACTTTCATGGTAATTGTTCGGATGAGCTCTTTGCTATGGTATCTTAACTTTATGAATTTAAGTGCAATACTAGACTGGCATCAAGATCTCATCAATTTACAATTGAGCTGGCTAGATGCAACCGTAAATTCTATGCTAACAGTTTCTTCTTTGCTTGTGGAACTCCCTTCCGATTCCATCCTTTCCAATTAATTTTAATCTGCAAAAAATTAAATGCAATGTCAATTATTATCTACTGTCCTCTTGATTACTCATTTTCTGTTTCCACTCATTAATAATGTTTCCGTTCTTAATTCTTCCACACCCTATAAGCCCTTGCGTCTTAGTGGCTTTACTGCCTTACTTTTGGAACTCCCTTCCGGCTCCATGCTTTCCAGCTAACTTTAATCTGCAAAAATTTAAATGCAATGTCAATTATTGTCTACTGTCCTCCTGATTACTCTTTTCTCTTTCAGCACATTATTAATGTTTCTGTTCCTAATTCTTCCACACCCTGTAACATCTTTCATCTTAGTGGCTTTATTGCCTTGTTTGGGATGATACCGATTAAAAAATATGTTTGCTTTTTATTGGTTAATCAGGTTTCACGTTATTTCTACTTGTTAAACAAACGTTAGTTTAATTTATGACGTTCCGAATTCAAGGAGAGACAACACGTGTCTTCGAAGTTTCAAGAAATGAATGGTTTCCAAGTCTGAAAAACCATAAATATTTCTTTATGTACGTAAGTGTATAATAATTTTAGTTTGTCTATGTCGGGTTCAGATGATGTGTATATTCTTAAGTGTGTATGTGTATCTGGTAAATATTACCGGGGATGGACAATATAATTGAAACACTTGTTAAATTCTAAGAAAATTTATTTAATATGAAGTTGGTCGACCTTTAGCCTCACATACAGTTTTAATACGTCTAGGAATGGAATCATACAGCTTCCTGACTTCATTCAGAGGAATTTTCAGTCGTTCTTCCATTAAAACCTTCTCCAGCTAAAGAGACACGACGATGGAGGATAGCGGCTCCTAACTTGTTGCTCCAAAATGCACCACAAATGTTCAATAATATTGATATCTTGAGATTGGGGAGGCCACTCCATGTGTTCTAGCTCACTTTCATGCTCTTCATACCAATTCTTAACCCCTCGAGCGGTATGTATTGGAGTATTATCGTCTTGGAAGATGCAGTCACCATTACGGAATAAAGTCTTGGCCATTGGATGAACATGATCTCCCAAAATGTTCAGGTAATCTTTGCTGTTGATTCTACCATGCAGGGCAACTATTGGGCCGAGACATTTCCATGATATGGCGGCCCAAATTTGCACCTGATCCACCTTCACGCTTCACTGTTGGAAGAAGACAGTCAGGGTTGTAAGCTTCTTTGGGCTGCCGCCACAAATAAACTCGCCCTGATGTTGTAAAAAGAGAAAAACTGGACTCGTCTGAGAATATGAATTGCTTTCTTTGGTCTGCACACAAGGCATTGTAATCTCTGCACCACTTCAACCTCTTTTGAATGTTGCAAGTGAAGAAAAGAGGTTTCCTCACAGCGGCTCTTCCATGATATCCAGCCTTATGGAGCTCACGACGAACATTTTTGTAGAAACTGGACTATTCAGATGATTATTCAACTCAGCAGTTACTTTGGCCGCAGTAGTCCGATGGTTTTTTGCCACATTGCGTTTCAATGCTCGTCGGTCCCTGTCAGTAAGTTTGCAAGTCCAGCCCGAATTACGGTTGCTCGAGGTTTTGCCCTGTTTCTCGAATTGCGTCATAATTCTTGAAAAACCAAACATTTCAGCAATCGAGGCTCTTGCCATGTGAGCTCCAGCAATTTTGCCCTTTTTCGACCTCGGAGAGGTCACGCATTTAGCTTAAATTTTACTAAGACAGTAAATTAGATAAATAAACGTATTTACAATAGATGTAACCTGCAATTACGAAGTTTTAATTAAAGTTCTTAATATAATAGGTCTTTGAAATATAGGAGTGGACGTTTTCAATTATTTTGTCCATCACTTGTTCTACGTATGTTAATTTACGAGCTGAACCCTTTATTTAATCTACGGGCGTAGAATGTTCTTGTTCCATTGATCATGTCTAAGAAGATCTCGTCTAGTTCTTATTTGCTAAGTTATTATTTGCCCTGTTAACATTCGGACAGTTATCCTCATCATTGTTGTCGTTATCCCAAAGTGTCCGTTGTGCCAAATCCACACTCCCCGGCGCAGGGATTGAACTCAAAATTACTATGTCACCAAATTCATTACCTAATACTTTACTCCACTACGCTATTATCCCGTATGTTACTTGTATGGATATACACCTGATGAAGGCCGAAGTGCACAATAACCACTTTGGGATAACAACAATGATGACGATAACTGTCCGAATGTAAATAATTTCAATAATAACAAACTACTGCATAGAGATATTTTAAAATTGAAGCAAGATGGCTTTCTCACTATTGCTAAAGTTTTTTTTCGTTTTGTTTTTGTTTTGGATTCCGGGGATGGAGTCCTGCACAAATAAATAAACAACGCCAGTAATTGAGATAGAAAAATAAATGTATTAAACGTAAGAATACAGACTTGAAATGAAGATTAGTAGTCCAGGAATGCGGGTTAGTAGAAAGTATATGTACAAGTCTCTGTAAGTAAAGCCGTAAGCATCTCTCTCTCTCTCTCTCTCTCTCTCTCTCTCTCTGGGCTCTTGTATAACTCTCTGAGAACACCCTGTGTCTGTGTCCGTATCTCTCAACCTGTCTCAACGTATCTCCACGTATTTTCACGTATCTCAACGTATCTCGGTATTTAATATCCCACCCACGAGGAAATTATGTGGCACAAGGCCGAGTTTAAAGTGGCTTTCTCCGAGCTCGTAGGCTCGGTCAAATATATCCCCTTTGAACCCGCCTAGACGGGTTCAATGCCTGTCTTCCTCCCCGGACGAAACCTTGCTCTTCGGCAAAGCCTCGTCCGGGTTCCTCTCTGGCAAAGCAGAGAGTTCGACAGACGTCGAGACTGTATCTCGACGTAACTCAACAGCAGGTATTCTCTCTGTCAGTATAAGTATACTTTGGACGAGTCCATCTTATGTAAAAAGGGGAGAACCCCACAACAGTTTTTTAATCATTTCACACCAAGCTAGGCCCCCCCAAATCAAAAACAAACACTAACACAGGTAGAGGGTACAGGGAGTGAATGCGAAGACTTTAGTGATAGAGAAATAAAATAAAGGAACAAAGTTCAGGAAGACAGTAGAAGGCGATCGATATTGTATTTACATTTTTGAAAATTGTAGTTGGCCGGGAAGCAAGAAATAAGAATGGAGTCCCACAAGCGAGAAATGTGGGGAAAGAAAAGAGACGGTTGGATCATTCAAGGGTAAAACAGTGGCAATAGCGCATTTTCACTTTGTAGTAACAGGCCTTTCTCACCATTTATAAAGCCTTGAGTATATTCCCAAATTGTTCTAACAGGACTTTCTCGCTATTTATAAAGCCTTGAGTATATTCCTAAATTGTTGTAACAGGTCTATCTCTCCATCTATAAAGCCTTGAGTATATTCCCAAATTGTTAACATGCCTTTCTCGCCATTTATAAAGCCTTGAGTATATTTCCAAATTGTGGTAAAAGGCCTTTTTGTCAATTTATAATGACTTGAGTATATTTTCAGGCCTTTCCCACCACTTATAAAGCCTTGAGTATTTCCAAATTGTTATAACAAGCCTTTCTCGCCATTTATAATGCCTTGGGTATATTTCCAAATTGTTCTAACATGCCTTTCTCGCCATTTATAAAGCCTTGAGCATATTTCCAAATTATTACAACAGCCCTTTCTCGCCATTTATAAAGCCTTGAGTATATTTCCAAATTGTGCTAAAAGACCTTTTTCTCAATTTATAATGCCTTGAGTATATTTTCAGGCCTTTCTCACCATTTAGAATGCCTTGAATATATTTCCAAATTGTGGTAACAGGCCTTTGTCTCATTAGAATTAGTAATGTTGCCCAAGGTCTTTTGAAATCCTGTCCATTGCTCTTCCCTTCCATCAAACCCATTCCTGCTGTATCACTGGCCTCCTTTTATTGTTTCTGGAATGAAGCCATGCTATTTTATAGTTAATCCAGCCCTCTGTTTTGGAAATATCCATTCACGGATCAGTGAGTCTTTCCATGAATAGCAATAAATCAGCTTTGATCTCTCAATAATTGATAAATCATGAATATCATTAACTTCGCGCGATTTTTTTTTAAAGGTCAGGCCTCTGCTTTTGGACTATAACAAGATGGAGGAAAATACTTTTCCTGATAATATTAACATATCAGCTAAAAAGAAAAGATAAACGCTGCCCATTAAGCTGTATGCCGAAAATATTTGTGACAGTGTAGTTAATTTAAAGTAGTATTTTAAATTAGAAAAGGCTAATTGTTTGATGATCAAAACACTGTGAACTCCAAAGGGAGAAGAAAATGTTGCAATCAAAAATCGTACTCCAATATCAAGAAATCCCATCACACAAGTCTTTTTTTCGATGTCAATCCGCTGCCCGTTCAAAACCGTCTGATTAAAAAAAAAAACCTCCGCCCTGAAAAAAAAGGGCGCGCTTTTATATCAATTGCGTCCTCGCGCGTGCAAAACCACCAACATGTGCGCTACGACGGGATTACAAATGGCGATCATGACCGCTCCTCTGGTCTCACTTCACTACAAACAGTTCTTCTCATAAAGATTTTGTGAGGAGAGACTCTTCCATTATATTTGTTTTAAAGACTTGCACTAACTTTCCCGGCACAAAATCTGGCAACCGCCCATGAAAAGGGCCTCCGATCAGTGGTTAACCGGGACAAGAAATTAACTACACTGTCACAAATATTTTCGGCATACAGCTTAATGGGCGGCGTTTATCTTTTCTTTTTAGCTGATATGTTAATATTATCAGGAAAAGGCTTGTAAAGTTTAACGCCTCAAAAAAAAAAAAAAAAAAAAAAACTGCTTTCAATTAATCACTATAGAGAACCTTTTCGACCTGCCATCAGCATGGTTGATGCTAAACTCTATGAGAGAAACACTGTAGACCTTTTTAGGCACATGTTTTCCACTGACGTGGATTGGAGCGGCTATATCGAATCATTTGCTACGTCTGCTGCAAGAAATGTTGTTTCAATGTGTCGGGCATGATGATCCGAATCATAATGGTAAATGTATATTTATTTTGTAAAAGTTAGAAAATTGTGGCTCAAGGTTGAAGGGGTTGTGGAGAAAAGGCTGGTCTTCACTGACTATCCTAGTCCTTGTTAATTACAAACCACGACCCATTCATTCAATATAATATGCTCATTCACCCCAAGAATTTTTCCATCACATGTCAATCCAACATGTACCATAATACCACATAATCTCAAGGGAGCTACAAAACACGCCATGATGCAAAAATTTATAATGTTCATAAAGTCTCTTTTTCGAAAACAAACTAAAGAATGAAGCAAAAACAAACTAAAACAAAACAGATGTTAGTAGGACCCGTCCACCCACTCAGAATAATGAGCGGCCATTGTATTCTGTTGATTGCAAAACTTAAATACGTTAACTAGGGAAATAAATAGTATCTTACTTAGTCAGGGGTTAGCTTACAGGAAACCTCCCCGTTGCATCTTTATGGTGAATGCCTGCAATATATTTGTCCCTCCCAAATTCATAAGCAGAATCACACAAATGCATGCTGGGATTTCTTCCTAGCCAATAAAATAGACCAGTTTTTGGTTTCATCTAACTCAGTCCCGGTCTGTCTTGCCCTGAAGCCAGAACGCTGCATTCGCCATTTATCTATCCAATTCAGCCTTTTATATGATGTAACATCAGTACTTAGCTGTTACAAGTATTTCCAAGAATATAAACCTTCCTGGAGCCGAGCCACAAGCTTAAACATGCTCTGTTTACTAGCAGCGGCGGGAGCCTTTCTACTCTTGACTAGTATGTCATTGCCATACAAACAAAATCGGACGAGTGATTAATGTAAACAATATGAGAGGGACACATGTTGAATGTCTTGTATTAGAATGACGTTTTTTTCTTTCTTAGAAATTTCTTTCTAATATTAGGATGCGTCTTCTAATTCGCAGCATTTTGTAAGCCGGGAAATACGGTACTTAGTAAAGATTTTAACGAATTGAAGCGCAGTACTAGATTGGCAGATAGGTCTCATCATTTGATCGGTTAGATATAACCATAACTTTTTGCTAACAGCTACTTCACCTGCACTTCCTGTTTATGAAAATCTTTTTTCCGGTCTTTGCTGACCAGTTATCTCTGATCTTCAAATATTTCAGTGCAATAACAATCGCCAATCTTCATTCTTATCGAACTCTTTTATATTATTGTCTTCTTTTCTTAATAATGAATTCAACGTATTTAATCAGAGTAATAAATTCGTATTGGAAATCCTACCGGGATTCATCATTGGCAGCCACAATCGTAAGATCCGCAGATGACACAATCATAAGATAGTTTGTTTTTTCCTGTGTTGTTAGGGCGGCACGAGTTGCCAAGGCGCGTCCACCACCTACCCGACTCTGTGACTCATGCTCATGACTCTTCAGGAATAAGGTATGCCTTCACAGTCATCTCCGCCACGACCAGCAAGTGCATAGAAAGGGAAGAGGGAAATGGTACCATCAGATGCCGACCGTTCTGGACGGACGTTTCTTTACATAAATTCTAACATTTTGACACTGTACGGCATACATTCGCATCGAGAATGAGCTCAGCGAATATCCAAAAACAGAATGAGGCGTAAGGCAAAGACGTGTCTTCTCTCCGGACTTATTCAACCTATACAGCGAGGCAGTTCCGCGGGAACTGGAGATCCTACGAGGATTGGCGCCCACAATCTTAACAACGTAAGATAAGCTGGTGACACGGTACTGATAATAGACACGGAAAAGAAACTACAAATCCTCCTACAGAAGGTAGCAAGGGAAAGCGAGAAGAAGGGACTAATCATAAACTACAAGAAGATAGGGTTTGTTTTTTCCTGTGTTGTTAGAGGGGGAGTCGAGTTGCCCAGGCGCGTCCACTACCACCCCGATTCTGTGACTCATGCTCATGACTCTTCAGGAGTAAGGTATGCCTTCACATTCATCTCTACCACGACCAGCAAAAGCCTAGAAAGGGAAGAGGGAAATAAAAGAGGATGACCATCCCGATGTCATACTGGTGTCAGACGACCAGGATTCATCAATGGCGGCCACAAACTTAACAGTCATCCCCCCCCCCGGAGGGTGTCATGTGGCACAAGGCCTTTTTAAAATATGCCCATTGAACCCGTATAAACGGGTTCAGGGCCGGTTTTACCTCCCCGTCCGTAGGAAGAGAGTACAACCGAACAGTCGCAGATGACACAGTGCTGATAGCAGACACGGAAAAGAAATGACAAAACCTCCTACAGAAGGAAGCGAAGGAGAGCGAGAAGAAAGGACTAAGCATAAACTACAAGAAGACAGAATGCATGGTCATTAGGATGAGCCCGAAATGCGATTAATAGGTCGGGGACACTAAAATTAAGCAGGTGCTGAAATTTAAATATCTAGGAAGTGTTCTAACAGAGGACGGAAAGTGCGACACTGAAATCCGAAGACATATTGGGATGGCCAAAAATGCATTCCAAAAGCTAGGCACAGTATTACGAGACATTCGTTGGTAACAAAGAAAAGAGTACTGAACTGCTACGTGAGGTATTGTTCTATCGAAGGATTCTAAGGATATCATGGACCGAGCGTGTGAGCAACGATGAGGTTTTGGAGTGGATGCAAACAAGGAGGAAGTTCTTGTTAACCATGTTTGCCATAGTCTCTGAATATGGAATCCAGTGAAGTCCGTAATGTGATCAATATCAGAGTTTGGCAGTGAAGATTCAGAGAAAGTAGCGACTGTTAAATAATTCTTTAAGTCTTCGACATCAGGTTGGCAATGGAGATATTTTGGGAGAAAAAACAAAATGGCTGCCTTTATACACATCGGATTGAATATTTTGAGCTTTCTGATTGGTTAACCCTTCCATTCGTGGACTATAAAATGAGTCAGCTCATTTTGGCTAGCTCACTAGTACTAAAAGGTACCCAAAAAAACTGCAACAGTTCGTACTTAACATCAGGAAGACACAGCTTATATTTCTGTGGCACGTAATGAGAAAGGAGGGCTTAGAGAATCTGATACTCACAGGCCGAATAGAGGAAACGAGTGACATACCTAGCGGACTTAAGAAAGTGGATGACAGAACAGGGTCTGGAAGAAGTAGCAAAGGGAGAAAACTTATTGAGAGCTACAAGGGATACGGAGAAGTGGAGAGCCATGATCGCCTACGTCCTGAAGGGACATAGTCCATAAAAGAAGAAGAATAAATTGACAGACAGCTATCATCATTTTACAGTTGAAATGGTTAGAGGTAACCACAAGTCCTATCTTAACAGCTTCTTCTCTCGCTTCTGGAACTCATTATCGGCCTCTTGCTGTTCAGTCACCTTTGATCTTCAAAGATTTATATGTCAATCGTCAAGCTTCTATATCCTTGGACAATGTTCTTTTATTGTCTTCTTTCCTTAATAATGATCTTAACTAATTTAAATGCAGTACTAGATTGGCAGATAGGTCTCATCATTTTACAGTTGAAATAGCTAGGTAATCAAAAGTCCTATATTAACGGTGTTATCTCTCGCTTCTCTCTTTATCGGCCTCTTGTTGTTCAGTCGACTTTGATCGTCAAAGATTTATATGTAATGTCAATCGTCAAGCTTGAACTATGTACTTTTATTGTTTTATTTCTTTAATAATGATTACAACGAATTTAAGCGCAGTACAAGATTGCTAGCTAGGTCTCATAATTTTCCAGGTGAAATGAGTTCTATGCTAAAAGATTTTTTTCTTGCGTGCTTTTCGCTTGAGGTACACTTTTCCTACCTCTTAATTTCCAGTCAACTTTGATTACAAGATTGGCGGCAAGGTCTCATCATTTTTAACTTGAAATGGCTCGATGTGACCATAAATTCTAGGCTAGCATTTTCTTTTCTTGCATTTCTTGCTCGTGGAAGTCTTTTATGCCCTCTTGCTATCAAGGCAACTTTGATTATTATAATATTTAAATTCAGTGTCAATTGTCAACCTTCTGTTTCCTCGAACCCTTTTTTTTATTGACTTCTTTACTTAATAATGATTTGAACGAATTTAAACGCCGTACTAGACTGACAACTAGGTCTCACCTAGATGCGACCGTAAGTTCTATGTTAACAGTTTCTCAAATCGCATTTCTCGCTGTCGAGTCAACTTTGAACTTCAAATATTTGAATGCAAGGTCAATTTTTAATCTCTAGTTTCCATGAACTTTGTTTTCTTTTGACTGCTTTATTTGAACGAATTTAAACGCTGTACTAGATTGGCAGCTAGGTCTCACCATTTTTCCGTTGAAATGGTTAGAAGTAGCCATAAGTTCTATGCTAACTTTTTCTTCACTCGCATTTCTCGCTTGTGGAACTCTCTTTCGGCCTATTGATTTCTAATCAACTTTGATAACTGTCATAGGTCCTTACCTATAACTACAGAATGAACTCTTCCTAACACTATGTATACTACGCCTCTCAAGAGAGAGGGTCGAATCAAGCCGAGCCTGTCGGCTTGACGGTCGAACTCTCTGCCTCTGAGCAGAGAGGAACCCGGACGGGGCTCCGTCGAAGGGCAGAGTCTCGTTCGGGGAGGTTGACTAGCCCGATCCCGTTTATACGGGTTCTACGGGCATTTTTTAAACTCGGCCTTGTGCCACATCTTTCCCTCGTAGGGAGGGGGCAAGTAAATATTGAACCGAGTCGAGCCGATAGTACTTCACTCCAAACCAGACTGACAGTCATACTAACACCTTCCACATCTTGTATTATTATTTTGTGTAATATACCTTCGTTATTTCTACTCTTGTGTCCGCGTTGTTCTTCCTTGGTCTTTACCTGGACCATAAAAATAACTATGTAAATGCAATGTCAGTTGCTATCTTCTATCTTCTTAATTCTCGGTCTTTTATTGTCCATAATAATGTTTTCTTTTCCTAATATTCTTTTACACTCAGTAACCCCTGGTGTCTTAGTGGCTTTGTCACCTTGCTTGTGGGTGAAGAAAACTTGGATTTTCGCAGAGACACCATTTCGCTCATGAAATTGATTGAATCCAAGAACAGATATCACATATATTGATGAATCTATTATTTATTTACAAATTTATTAAGTATTTATTGAATAAATGTTACATCTGTTAAGGAATACAAAGGATGTAGCAAACAAAACGAATGATTCTGTTATTATTTACTTTTCATTTTTTTTCCAATGAAACATGAGCCAGTGCACATGTTAATACTTTGTATGTTCTTCCACGAAGTCGTATCTGGCCACAGATTCTCGACTGAATTAAAACCAGGAGAGTTTCCGAACCAGTCTATAGTACTTTGATTTGCTCACTGGTAATGCTTGCCAGTGTGTTCGTGCAGTATAACAATTTTCGTACGGTACCTTGGAGTAACGCCCATTGCAGACAATGGTCGTAGGACAACTAATCGACAGTCGGGACAATAGTGTCTGGGCGTGATAATAATCTGATGTAATCACGGTTGACGCAATATTTTTCAAGGCTAAACAAATTTCATCATACACCCCGAAAACAGATTCATATTACTGCACACCACTACAAATGACCTAACCTGAGGAAAAATAGAAATCGATTACACATTGTCACTCCAGTCGGTTTAAAACTAACGATATGGTGAAAGAAAAGAAACTAAAGTTGTAGTTTCAATTAATTTGCACAAGGGTGTATGCCAAGTATTCAATTACTTCTTTGACTAATTAGTCACACAACCTGTCTCCCTCTGAACATGACGGGACAATGCTTGGCTCATTTAGTTAGCCCGCCTATAATATACAGGTACGTAAGGCATGGAATGATATCATTCCAAAGGGTATTTGTTAACGCCTCAAAAGAGTATACATTGTACAGTGTGCGATGGATAAATTGTCGTCTAAATTACTCAAAAATGAAAATAACACCGGCATCTCATTTTAACAGATACACCGGGGGCGATGGATAAATTGTCGTCTGAATAGCGCCAAAATGAAAATGACACTGGCATCTCATTTTGACAGACATACAGGATGCGATGGATAAATTGTCGTCCTATTTACTCAAGCATGAAAATAACACTGGCATCCCATTTTAACAGTTATATACTGTGCGATGGATAAATTGTCGTCTAAATGACGCCAAAATGAAAATAACACTCTCATTTTAATATAAATAGAGGGTGCGATGGATAAATTGCCGTCTAAAAGCCGCCAAAACAAACATAATACTGGCATTTCATTTTAACCGATCTACAGGATGAGATGGATAAATTGTCGCCATTTTAACAGATATATTTACCAAAGTTACACACAAATACCTTGAAATAATAAACAGTGAATTTATTCAATAAAATCGGAATTGGCTTCGACCATGGCCTCGGAAACTCCTGCAAATATTTTGGACTGTCTCCTTGTTTACGTTGGTGAATGCTGCCATAACGACTGGGTTCTCCTGCTTGTGTTTCATTGTGTAGAGTCATGTTGTCGGACGTAGAGTCTTCCAGCAGCCACCCTCTTGACCCAGAGTAGTATTACCTCCTCAAGGCACGATGTAGGCTTCCATGGTGAGTCTGAGGACCTGTGGGAAGATGAATGGAGGCATAATATCGGCATCACTATTTATCATTCCAAACACCTTTGCCATCAACATTAGACTAATCCAACTCTTTCTGAATCCTCTGCACAATCCTCAGATTGACACCCAAATACTTTGAGATGTTCGTCATGGGGCTTTCTTCTCAAATGCCAAGCAATACAGCATGCCGTTTCCAAATTTCTGGTGGAGGGAATTGTGTCATCATTTTCTTTTGTCACAAAGACGGTGCACAACTGACCCGACTATACTGTGCAGACGACAAAATAAAAATAAAAAAAAGCTGGGAAGTTTTTCTTCTGACAGATTCGTTCTTGCTTCCAATCAGCATGAGAGTGACTCGTAGCGCCTTCCCGGGGGAACCTTCTCGGCTGACATGAAGTGGAAATATTACATTGAATCAATTGCTAGGTCAACTGCCAGGAAATTTGGTTCACTGACTTGCGCTAGACAATTTTCCTCTCCAGAATCTATCTTACATACAGGGTGATAGATAGATAGATAGATAGATAGATAGATAGATAGGAATAGACTTGGGTAGAGAGAGAGAGAGACAGAGAGATCAACAAGATAGATAGATAGATAGATAGATAGATAGATAGATAGATAGATAGATAGGAATAGACTTGGGTAGAGAGAGAGAGAGACAGAGAGATCAACAAGATAGATAGATAGATAGATAGATAGATAGATAGGAATAGACTTGGGTAGAGAGAGAGAGACAGAGAGATCAACAAGATAGATAGATAGATAGATAGATAGATAGATAGATAGATAGATAGATAGATAGGAATAGACTTGGGTAGAGAGAGAGAGAGACAGAGAGATCAACAAGATAGATAGATAGATAGATAGATAGATAGATAGATAGGAATAGACTTGGGTAGAGAGAGAGAGAGACAGAGAGATCAACAAGATAGATAGATAGATAGATAGATAGATAGATAGATAGATAGATAGATAGATAGATAGGAATAGACTTGGGTAGAGAGAGAGAGAGACAGAGAGATCAACAAGATAGATAGATAGATAGATAGATAGATAGATAGATAGATAGATAGATAGATATGAGCAGATAGATAGATAGAGAGAGAGAGAGAGAAAGGAGAGATCAACAAGATAGATAGATAGATAGATGTCAATAGACTTGGATAGATAGAGAGAAATGAGTAGAGAACAACACGATAGAGAAAGAGAGAGAAAGATCAACAAGATAGATAGATAGATAGATAGATAAATAGATATGAAGAGACCGAGATAGATAGATAGATAGATAGATAGATAGATACAGAATGTGATATAGAAATAGAGAGAGACATCGATATAGTGTGAGAAATTAAATAAAGACAGATACGTATATATGAATTGAACGAGGCAGATAGATAGATAGATAGATAGATAGATAGATCTTAATAGACTTGGATAGATAAAGATGAGGAGAGAAATCAACATGATAGATAAATGGAAAAAGAGCAAGATCAGCAAGATAGATAATGAACAGAGATAGATAGATAGATAGATAGATAGATAGATTTGAATAGACTTGGATAGAGAGAAAGAGACAGATCAACAAGATACATAGACAGATGTTAATAGACTTCGAGAGATAGAGAGAGCTGAGGAGGGGCATCAACAGGATGAACAGATGGAGAGAGAGAGAGAGAGAAAGATCAGCAAGATAGATAGATGTCAATACACTTAAATAGAGATGGAGAGAGAGAGAGAGAGATCGACACGAGAGAAAGAGAGTGAGAGAGAGAGAGAGAGAGGGTGAGATCAACAAGATAGATAAATTTCAATAGACTTGGATATATATAGAGAGAGGGAGAAAGATCAACACAATAGATAGACAGAGAGAAAGAGAGAGTAAGATCAACAAGATAGATAGATAGATAGATAGATAGATAGATAGATAGATAGATAGATAGATATGATCAGAGACAGATACATAGATAGATAAAGAGAGAGAGAAGGTAGAGATCAACAAGATAGATAGATAGATAGATAGATAGATAGAGAGAGAGAGAGAGAGAAAGGAGAGATCAACAAGATAGATAGATAGATAGATAGATAGATAGATAGATAGATAGGGAAATAACATTAACAATGTGTAAAAGGTTTCCTTTGACATATTTACATCCTTTAGAAAGACATCGAACTTAAGTGATGCCTACGTCACCGTGACTTCACATGCATAAAGGAAAGGGTCGCGAGGAAAGGCATGTTTTTAAAAATATTTCTTTTCTATCTTTTCTAGCCTATTTCATTAAGTTTCTTCTTTTTTATGGTTTCATCACTTTTGCTAAAATAATCAAAATTTGCCGTCCCATCATCAATCAATCTTATTTCTCCTTTAACAATAATTTTCATAAACCAATTTTGGTTTACCAATGGGTTCGCCTCTAAGCGAGGTGTTGACATGCATTTTCTTAAAATTTATTTAAATAATTCAAGGTACACAAAAATAGAATTTGCTTTAAGATTTTTCGGGCTAACATTTTCCGTTACATGAAGTGGAAAGATTATATTGCGTCAATTGATAGGAAATTTGGTTCATTGTGTCTACCATTCGTCTTTGCTTTGAATATTGCTGCCACATTTGGTCTGGTGCTTCTGCTGTATATTTAGAAATTCTTGATGACATTGCAGATACTTCTTTGTATTTTATCGACATGGCATCTCGGCTACTGTCATTTTCACATCGATGTAAAGTGGCTTCCCTCTGCCTTTTCTATCAATACTTTCATGGTAATTGTTCTTATGGATTTTCGGCTATATTAACTAGACTTTATGAATTTAAGCGAAGTACTATATTGATGGCAAGGTCTCATTATTTTATAGTTAAGTTGACTAGATATTCCCCGTTATCTGCTGGCATGAAGTGAAAAGATTATATTAAATCAATTGCTAATTCTGCTGTTAAGAAAGTCGGTTCACTGCGTTTTGCTAGACAGTTTTTCTCACCAGAATCTATCTTACAATATCTAAAAAACTCCTTTGTCTCAAATATTGCTGCTCGGTGCTCCCGCTGTATATTTAGATATTCTTGATAAAATCCAAAGAAGATTCCGGCAATATTATTAGTCCTGAATTGGCATCTCGGTTTCAGTCAATTTCCCACCGCCGTAAGTCAGCTTCCCTTTGCCTTTTCTATCAATACTTTCATGGTAGTTGTGAGTATTAATATAGACTTCATGCATTTAAGTTCATTACTAGATTGGCGGCAAGGTCTCACCAATTCACAGTTGAATTGGCTGAATGTAACTGAATTTCTATGCTGACAGTTTCTTTTCTCGCACTTCTAGCTTGTGGAACTATCTTCCAGTTCCTTGTTTCACAAATTTAATCTTCAAGAATACAATGTACATGTTTATCTACTGTTTTCATGTTTACTCTTCTATTGTTCTCGCTGCTTAATAATATTATCTTTATATTAAACTATCAAATTCGGGAAACCTTTGTGTCTTAGTGGCTTTACTGCTTTGTATGGGGTCAAATTACTGAAAGCAAATTTAGATGAAATGTCAATCGTTATCTAATGTCTTCTTGATTACTCTTCTATTGTTATCGCTCCTCAATAATGTTTCTCGTTTTTTCTTATTCTTTCACACTCTGTAACCCTTTGTGTCTTGGTGGCTTTACTGCCTTGCTTGGGGTGAAATGATTAGAAAACAAATTTAAATGTAATGTCAATCGTTAACTAATGTCTTCTTGATTACTCTTCTATTGTTCTCGCTCCTCAATAGTGTTTCTCTTTTTTTCTTATTCTTTCACACTCTGTAACCCCTTGTGTTTTAGTGGCTTTACTGCCTTGTTTGGGGTGAAATGATAAGAAAACAAATTTAAATGTAATGTCAATCTTTATCTAAAGTCTGCTTGATTACTCTTCTATTGTACTCGCTCCTCAATAATGTTTCTCTTTTTTTCTTATTCTTTCAAACTCAGTAACCCTTTGTGTCTTAGTGGCTTTAATGTCTTCTTTGGGGTCAAATGATTAGAAAACATATTTAAATATAATGTCAATCGTTATCTAATGTCTTCTTGATTACTCTTGTATTGTTCTCGCGCCTCAATAATGTTTCTCTTTTCTTCTTATTCTTTGACACTCAGTATCCCTTTGTGTCTTAGTGGCTTTACTGCCTTCCTTGGGGTCAAATGATTAGAAAACTAATTTAAATGTAACGTCAGCCGTTATCTAATGTCTTCTTGATTACCCTTGTATTGTTTTCGCTTCTCAATAATGTTTCTCTTTTTTTTCCCTCTCAGTAACCTCTTCTCTCTTAGTGGCTTTACTGCCTTGCATTTCGGTTGTAGAGATACAAAAGAGGATTTTCTCCCTTTGGCCCGGGTATTCACCTGCCGGACGCTCAATGACCTCACTTCATACAGTGACGCAAGGGTTCATTGTTTCGGTTTAATGTAGCCAAACCAAGTCTTTGCCTTTTTATCCCGGGCTAAGGCTACATGTGCCTCCCCCAGTAGCTTACAAAACAATGGTGCAGTTTTATTTTGTGGATATATCTTCTCCAGATTTAGAAATAAACGCTGGCACGCAGTCCTTAATTTGGGACATAGTAAATGTATCCGGCCCGTTTGAATCTGGTCTCCTAAACATGGCTTCTACAGAAACAGAGAAGAATCACCATATTATATGTAAGACCCTATCTTTTCGTTCCTCTTTCACCCTCTTTGCTGTGTAGATATATGTTATATTTTTTCTCTGCGTGGAATACGTGTAAATATAGGGTCTTTCAATAACTTGGACCGATTTTAAATTTGATTTAAGTTTTATTGTCTAATGATTTTTTTCTTTTCTTTCAGATTTAACAACTTTGGCAATTTCAACGTTGGAAAGATTAACCATCAATGTTATCGAAGCCTGTTACGAAAATAGTGTTCAAATAGAATTTGAATGTGAAGTTCCCAGGTCGCATCATCTCTCGAAACAGCTAAGACAATTGGCCTCAACGATCGTGCCATTTGACGCCTTTAGATTTCTTCCTTTGGTCAAAAGTAAGGTTTATGCCAACAAGCCAATAACAATTCAACAGCTAAAGGATGAAATAATACTGGTGAGATCGAAGAGCATCGATGCAGAGACGTCATCAAAAATTTTGACCATCCAGTGGAGGTGTGCCGCCGAAGCCTTGGCGGACATTTGGGCGATATTATTTTACACACATAATTGCCATGACTTAAATAATCCAATAGAGAAATAAATAAATTTTCACTAATAGCACTGATTTATTTACTGCTGACTTTGATCCGTCTTAATGAAACACCCTTTACGTATATATAGTTTCGTGTATGTTATAGCGGTATAAAACTTTCTCATATTCCGTTGCGTGCGTGTAATATGGTGTTATTCTATCTCGGTTATGATAATGTCCATAATTGGGGAAATAAAAATGGGCAATAACCCTGTCTTCCAAGCGCACGTATTATAGGGTGATATGATTTTAAAAAGAATATTTTAGATTAGCATTCCATAGACCTTCTTCAATTCATGGCAATGATTCCCAACGTGATGCGTATTCCCCACCGGTGGGGCATGGTATTATTTTGGTGGGGCTTGCGTAGGATGTACACCCTTGGGCTTACTATTCCAAAAGAATAAGGGGGGCAATTCGAGAATGAGTTATTAACAGTGAATTGTTTTCTAGTGAGTAAATGAGAGGGTTAATGTTAATGCGTGTTAATAAATCTTTCTTTCTTTTTATGTGCCATGTCCTTTCAGGACGTAAGCGATCACGGCTCTCCACCTCTTTCCATCCCTTGCAGCTCTCAATAAGTTGCTTCCCATTGCTTCCTCCCTCGGACCACGCTCTGTCATCCACTTGCCTAAGCCCGCCAGGTAGGTCATGCGTTGTTTTTCCTTGTCTCTCTTTCCCTCTATTCGACCCGTGAATATCAGATTTTCCAAGCCCTCCTTCCTCACGATGCATATACAGTATGCATACATAAAAATATTTTGTGTGTATGTACGTACATGTGTAATTGGCATACAGGGTATTTTCCGTCTCCCCAAACTCGCATGTCTCGGAAAAGAAAAGAGAAGGCGTGATGCATGTCGCTGGAAGAGAAAATGTTTTGTTGGCCAATCAGCGCGTAAGGAGCGGGCGTGATGCATGTCGCTAGAAGAGCCCATGTTTTATCGGCCAATCAGCGCGTAAGGAGAGGTCGTAAAGCATATCGCTGGAAGAGCCCATGTTTTGTCGTCCAATCAGCGCGTAAGCAGAGGGCGTGATGCATGTCGCTGGAAGAGCCCATGTTTTGTTGGCCAATCAGCGCGTGTGAGCATTCGGTTTGCTTCCTTCACGTGAATTGATGTAAAGAATTAAATATTACAGTGGGTGGGGCACAAGAATTATAGAAATACCAAAGTAGGACATGGCTCAAAATCAGTTGGGAACCAATGATCTTTGTCAGAATTTAAAAATATTGGCAGTTTAACATTTTAGAATAGTGTTTCTGTTCCTTATATAAATGTCAGATTGTTCCCAGACATCTTAAAGAGTCATCTGTACGTTGTGTTTATTTACAAATGTCACGTGTGAAATTGTATTTGCATCATTGATAAATGCATGATTTACAAATTGAGAAAAAGGATTAAGTCAATATTATGCAGTGATCAGTGATGTAGGCAGTTTCTAATACGACATTTGTAAATAAAAACAATGTACACATAACTCTTTAAAAGGACAGGAATCGACTTGGAAAGTTATGGACCCCCCCCCTTTTAAATTGATAAAAATGAATATTTTTCAATTCTTACAAATGCTTGAGGAAATCTACAAAAATTATTCCTCACAGACTCTTCCCTGTATTTTTTATAATCAATTCACCCCAAGCAAGGCGATAATACCACTAAGACGCGAGGGGCTACTGGGTGTGAAAGAGAATGAGAAGACTTTAGAAGGAACAAGAAACACAACACCAAATATGAAACAAAAAACAGGGAGGAGTGTGAACCGGTTATAAGTGGTTACCAGTAGAACACTGAAACATGCAGAAATACACACATAACAATACGCATTCAATTTTATATAGTAATCACCATAATTTGTGGAGCGTTTCTTTATTATTTCACAGTGTACATTA